ACTCTCTCGACGAACAAGGACCAAACACTTTTATAAGTCACTCATCTCCGTCCTGATATATGGTGCCGTGACATAGACGAGATGACAACATCTGATAAGTCGGCACTACGAGTTATGGTCATTGCACATATCGCAGTATACAACGACATGGACATAGGTCAGTAAATTAAACAAAACTCCATTGGAAAGACTTGGTGGGGAARCGCCTTGGAATCTCCAATTGCCGCCAAACAGCGAAAAAAAAGAAYGACTGGAGCGCGGTTGTCAACTCGGAAATAACGGCGCAAGAAGAAGAATCAGCTAATTTTTTGAACTAAGACGTGCTGCTATAAAACATAACAACAAAACAATTTTTTTTTTGTTTATCATCTTCGATTACGTAAAAAATTTAATAACACCGGGAGTATTCTTCTGTAATGTATTAGAATGAGACAGAATTGATAGTTTGTTTTAAACGGATTGCAGGACTGGCTGCATTATCATATATGTATATTATTTACACTTTTGTTCTTGCATTCAAAATATTGTTTATAGCTATATTTATTTCCTGGAAACGCAGAAAAGAAAAAACAAAAAATCGCTACAGGCTATGACCTGGACACATGGAGAACATATGTATGTATATCAAAAAATAGATAATTTTTTTAAAATTTAAAAGAAAATGCATAGCAAACAAATTTAAACTAAAAAGCAAAAGAAAAATCACATAGACGGCTAATAATAAATTTTGCATCACGAGGAAATAAATGTACGGAAAACAAAAGCTTTATATTTATTAGCATGTCTATATTGTATACTCGCACAGTCGATATGTGACTTCCTAAAATCTTGCATAATGCGTACAGTTATACATCGATCCACACGTACATATTTCTATGTCAAGAAACTGTTTTAGGTATTATATTTAGAARTGAAGAACTTCGGTGTTGACTTTAATATTGAAAAAATTTTCGTAAGCAACAACAATATTATATGTACATAATATGTAGGTATGTATATGTATCATATTTCTATATATATTTTTGTCCCTTTAATTAAATTTATTTTGATAATTTCTGGATTTATCATTATCTGTTAATTTAATTTTTTTAACTTTATTTATATTTTTGTTTTTATTGAACTTTTTCGCTTTAATTAAAAAAACACATATAAAATGTTATTTTTGTGTTGAATACGCATAWCAATATTACTTTTTAACCTAAACAAAAGGTTAGGAGTATTATTTAGAACTTTAAAAAAATGTTTTTTTTACATTTTCTCCAAGAAGAATATCTAAGAAATATTCTCTGAATAGAGTAAAAAAATCTCGAATACCGCTTTTTCTTTGAAAACATTAAAAACTGGTGCCTAATCGAACGATTTTTAATTTATATTTTTTATTAGCAATCGGCTGTTGTTTWTTCTGAAAATATGGAAAAAATGTCATAATCCCGCCATTTTTTTTAAATTCAATTAAAAAGATTAATCAGGCATTAGATCTATTACTAAAACTATTTTTTGACCGATTTAACTTAAATGAATCCCCAAGGATTAGTGATGGTTACCGGATGGAGCTTTCAAAATTATATATTTTTTTTTAAATTTCTGCCATGCTGGCACAACTACACCTTGGGGTTAGGTTGAGCACAATGTTTAGTTGAAAACAATTTAAAAAAATAATGTGAGGGAGATCCTTACTTSTTATACTGGGATTATTCTTTTTTTRCTACATGGCGTGTGGCAATTTGGCGCAAGTGACGTTGTTGACCTTGGCAATTAAATTGCTAATAAAAGAACTCTTACTTTGTGCCGGTTTGATTTAATGTAAAAATAAATTTATTTTATTTCAAAAAGCCAATATTTTAACGAGCCGCGAACCACAATGTGAACTAATATGTATATGTTTTAAAAATTACTATATTTTTTATTGCATAAAAAGTTGAACGAAATGCATATTGGTGATTATTTATTAKATTAGGAATTGAGAAATAAAGTTTTGATAAGAACTGTTGTTTATTATCAATACACACACAAAGGTTCATATACGCCACGGTCGCCACAGGGTAGCGAGGCCAACTTGCCGGTGTGTGCTCATCAGTTTAACCTTCACCTGACTTTCAAAACTATGCACACAATTTGTTTTGCATTATACCAAAAAAAAAACTACTTTTAACGCTTAAAACACACAATCGTTCCATTAAACGACACATTAAATAACTAATTATGGAATTTACGAATAATCCAGACAATGCGGATGCAGTTATCAGTGGTTGCTAAGAACTTTGACAGTCAACTTGCATGAAATAGATAGTTTTGCGATTACGCTCGTTATCACCACAATTTTTTAAACGCATCTATATTTTCACTCACCTGCGTCGTATTTCACGTTCAAATGGCTTTAAATAACCATCTAATTTAAAAAGTTCGTCAATACTTTTCACTTCAACCTGCATTGGATCCATTATGGAATTATCTGAATTATTTACACAGCCAAAATAAACTTAAAATGTAAAATGATTTCGTGATCGGCAAACAATATATTATTTGTACACTCGCACTCGCTGGAAGCGTGTACACTTGTTTATTGAATTTATATTTCTGCCTTCTAAATATATCCCAATAGACCGGTTGCTTTTATGTTTGGACGCCAACTGATTGACTTGATTCGAYGGCAGAAAACTGTGTAGTGAAAAAACGCCAACAACTAACTAATATACACCGAATAGGGAGCACAGCTGTTTGATAGCGTCGGTTGGAGGCACTTATTATTTTGTTTATTCTGCTTTTGTGGTTATTCTGTTCTGCTGCCGAACTCCAATAGCAGCTGAAGTGTGCATTTACTTGATTTTCATACATAAAGCTTACTTGTATGGGTTTACGTGTTTGTGTATATCACATTTTTGTTCAACGAATGTCAGACAGAACAAACGTAGGGCAAAAATAGGCGCGCAACCCTATGAAAACAACAAATCTGATAAGCGACTAACAACCAATAGCAGACAAGGTCACCACTCTGTGCTTATRTGTAAAAATTACTCGTTTATTTTATAATAAATGTACAATTTAATTATTCTGTATAGACTTGGTTTTCTTTATATTTCGATTGGAGTAAAAAACATTATATAGAGAAAWTTGAGTTGATATCAATTCTCTGAATAATATTTATTTATTTTATGTTGTTTTCTTATTTTAAAACCTTTTCATTTAGCATAAATATGTCTCACTTCAATATATCGCATCTCTAGAACGAAATGAGACTGGCAACAGTGAATTGTCGCCGGCATAAGATGTTTAAATATTTGTATTATTMTTCTTTTTGTCAGCTTAACCTTTTATGGTTCTACAATCATTTTATTGCTAGGCGAGGAGTTTTGTTAATTTCAATTGTACAACGAAGTGATTGCTTGAAGTTYAGAAAAACTTCAACGCAGAAAAAAGAAAACTAATTGAGTTCGTCGGATTGAATAGTGTTTAGGCGAATCAACAGCTTTCCGAATAATGATTCAAAAAGTGCATAATAATAATAAAAATTATTTAATGATTTTTTTATATTAGAAGATGCTATTCAAACCAACCAGTTCAATTTCCTATCAAATACAACTATCGCKTAAAAACAATAAATCTCATTAAATAAAGCAGGTCACAGTAAATTTATGAAATAATTTTCGTCTTTATTTTATATTATATACTTGTAGGTATGTAATGTATAATATTAACAGATAATTTAATATTTCACATTGTTACACTGTGCTTGAAGTGGGAACTTTTTTATAATTATATATTTTTTTCATTAGCACAATCAACAACTCTGCGCTGGTGTAATTACGATAAAGTACTACCAGCCGAGTGATTGTATGYTTATAGTTTTCTGACTAGCACAGTGCAGTTAATAATGTTAGTTACATGAGCTACATGCAATATGAATGGGTCATTTAAGCTTTTACATTAATATATGTATATATTTTACAGGTTCTTACAACAGTTTAATTTTTATTAATTTTTTTTATTAATATCTCGCTCAAACTATTCCATTTTTTTAAAATATTTTTTATGTTTTCTGTTTTTCAATAACTTGTTATTTTCGYATAATAAACTTATAATAATTATATATTTTATGCTTTAATTACTATTATACTAATTATCAATCATTGGTTTTGTTTGTTGGTCAAATTTTCTTCTTACATGATTTGATTTACTTCACTTTTTTTCTTATTAAGAAGTGTTCTTAAATTAAGTTAAAGGAAAATGATTTATTATGTTTAAATAAATTTAAAAGAATTTTAATTTAAATGGCTTAAATTTTAAATAAATTATCCAATTCAAAAGTATTCTGAATTTGCATTTCGTTTCTAAATTCAATAATTTTATGTTTAAAATAGTTTTTCGCATTTGCTTTTCGGTTTGTTTGTTTTGCTTGGCTTAAATTAGTTGAGTTTATGTACTTATTAACATGTGATTAAAACTATTCCATTTTTTATGTCTATATACTAAACGTACATACAAGTTGTTAAACATTTTCATATATTTTTCAATTGAAAATCAAATATTATTAAATATCAATCAGCACATAGTCATGTCAACTGAGTACTAAGAATCTACAAAAAAAGGAATACTTGTAACTCGTCGCTTTTTTAAGCACGTTGCATTTAAATATTATTTCAGTAAATTTTATTTTATTATTATTAAATCTTATTAATTTAATATGTATTTACATACATAATTAAAATATAAACTAATTGAATAGTAAAATATAGTACTTTTATTTTCTTCTATGATTTGCCTCAACTGGTCTCCTTAATTTYATTAATAATMTTTTTCGTGTGTGTAGTAACTGACAGTCGTCTTGTTTACTGCGTTAGATACTGAACAGAATATAGTTTCTGATTGTGAAACAGAAATCTGTAATGTTGAGTAGAGGAGTCTCTGCTAAATTTAAAACAAAAATTCAAATTTTAATTGTAGAGGACAAACCAAAAAATTCGAAGAAATTTGTTAATAATAATTTAAATTTAAATTTAATAAAATAAATAAAATATATCTACATAATAAACAAATGGGTATTAAAAACAAACAATTCAAAAATAAATATAATAAAATGACACTCGAAACAAAACAAAACAGCTCGAATGGCTATGTGTTATTGTAAATAATTATTAATAAAATATATTATTATGAGATTGTGAAAATGTATGGGTAGAAACAAATATCACCTGGGAAAAGTGGTTCAAATATAGTAGCTGGCAAGTTTTGAAAAATACAACACGAATTTGTTAAAATATAATTTTACGACTTGAAATAGCTTTGCTTCTTCAAAGATATAATCAGATGTAAGCTTAAAGCAGCTTATTTAAAATATTTTCAACACTTGTTACCGCGATATTCCCGTTTTAAAAAGTTTGTACCAAAAATATAGAAATCGTTAGCATATAATTGTGTATGCGCCCWAATGTATGCTAYATTTTCGACATATGCAAGACCACACACTGTCAAAAATACGGTCTAAAGTTTTCAAATAAATAAAATTTATTAAAAATATGGTATAAAATACTATTTGTATCAAGTGTAGAATTTTGAAGCGGTAAAATAGTTTTAATATATTTTTGCATGCGTTTATATTTTTGTAAATTATTTCGAAATTTCAAGCAAAAGTGTAAAATAGGTTTCTGACTTATTACACTGTTTTCATKATATCGGCATTACAATTTGTTGTTTTATTTTTTTCTGTAATGATGAGGACACACACAATAATTACTTTTATACAATTTGCAAATGAATTGGAAGGAGCATGCTATATAAAGTTAAAAAACTAAAATAGTAGTAACTGTAATACATTTTTAATAACGCTGAGTGATCSAATATAAATTACCGTTATACCTATTTTAATGTTTATATCTTTGTTTATGGAATACATTTACAAAAYAGCAACAATTCGAATTATCGAAATTGCATTTTTTTCATTTTTATTAAACAAATTAGTTCAATGTGGATTATTATAATATATAATCTCCCAAAACTTATTTACTAAGCTGTCTTTGCAGTACTTATGTGACGAGTATATTATGTATTTACCAATTTTGTTTCAAGTAATTCGTCAACTTATAAATAAGCATTCATATTTTTCTAGTTTTATTTAACACACAGGCATTTATTCGTCTTTAGTAGATTCTAGTTTTGATGCTTGGGTTTAATCGTTAGTTTTAGTTTCGAAAAATTCACACTTGTTGGAGAAATTAGTGTGTGGTATATGCTAGTCAGAATTACGAAGAACTGTTTGGAGATCTTTTATATGTGATTTTGTTGTTTTTTTGTCCTTGTTTGCTAATTTTATTTTTTTTATAATATTGTAATTATTATTATTTCTTAATTCCATAGTACACAAAAATTTGTTCATTTAATAGAAATAAAAAATTGGTAAAAAAAATATTTTAATATTGTACATGCAATTCTTTGCAAAAATTTAGCGCTCAAAGCAATTGTTATTGCGCASAAAACTCTTGGAGAGAAGGCATAAAATGGCAGTTGAACTTAAAAACTTCGAAAACTGTAAAAAGTAAATTGATTATTAACTAATTTGTTGTGTAAATAAAATGTAATAAGATATTATTTATGTATGTATGTAAATGATTATTTCGCGGCAATTGAAATAAGTTTTAAATAAAACAATTTTCATTATACATTTTGCCAGTAAAATTCTGTTTGTAAATTTAGTTTTTAAAAGAATTACTTTAAATGCATTGGGAAAAATAAAATAATAAATTRCTGTAAAATTTTGTTTCTATCTTAAAATAGTTTATTCATGCTAAAATTAAAAATATTGTTTTTTCTTTTAACTTTAAACAAATTGTGACAAACATATCTATGTAAATATTTTAAGTTTTTTTTTATTAATTATTCAAATTTCTAATTTAGATATTTTCAAAATAATTAATGAATGTTGTTCATACATTTTCAAATTATATCTCGTTTCAAAAGTTCTTTATTTTCACTTTTAAAATGAAATAAAATTTAAATTGATTCTCAAATTTTATTGCGCAATAAAAAAAATAATCACTTAGACTTTTCGAAACATTTTTTTTTTTTTTTTGAATATTTAACTTTTTTTTCAGTGTTAATTCTCCATATATCTTTCATATACTGACAGTTTTTCATAAATATTTATGAACTCTTGACTGTTAGCTTTTCGGAGTTTAAAATGCGACTAGTATATACCCGAATGAACATAACTAACGAATGACCCGACACTGAGCGGTTCTTCTTATAATATTATTGTTAAGCATTATTACAGCAATTAGGAATTGCTTAACCGTAGCTAATTGGAGCGATTCTGRATTTTTAGTATGCAGTTATAGGTTTTAATTTTCTTTTGAGACGGTGTAAATTTAATTATTTCATAATAATTTATCGAAAAATACATTTCAGCGCTAACTGATTTGTAATTTCAGGTGTTGAAGAGAAACCAATTCAAGGAAAAAGTTTAAACACAAATTTCTTAGCTTAAGACAAAACTAAATTACATACTCGCACATAAAACTCTTAGCTAGACAAACTTATTACACRTATAAAGTATACACGCACATTATAAACGGATACATTATTACCTGGTCGTCTTAGAAAAAGTAGGTCGTCGGTAAAATCGTTGCATTATTCAGAAATCGCCCTAATTGGCCACCGGCTAAACCCTACGCCAGCACTTGCGCCTTCAGCGCCTCAGCCTGTTGGGCGGCGACAATCTGAGCTGCAGCTGCTGCTGCCGCCGCCGAATTCGAAGTGGCGCTGTTGGCACTGGTTGCGGCAGCTGGTGCCGATTGTATGATTGGTATGGCGGTGCCGTCGGCGGTGAGCAGCAATGTTTGCGTTGTGGTGGCTGTTTGTTGTTGGTGGTGTGTTGCGGCAGCTTGCACAGCTTGTAGCACTGTTGTGGCATTAGCGTCGACACTTCTGTTGGAGCTGCTGGCGCMGGCGCCACCGCTACTGCCATTCCAATCTTGTATCGCTATTATTTGTTGTTGCTGCGGTTGTGGCTGTGGCTGTTGTTGTTGTGTTAATTTACTCAACTGCTGTGGCGTCGCTGTGGCGAGTATCGTGGAACCATCTGGCGCAGTGAGCAGAATCGTGTTCGGCGGCAGATTAATACACGTCACTGTGCCATTCGGTTGTAGCGTTTGCAGTTGAATTTGCGGCAGTGCYGTCGCAGTTGTTGTTGTTAATGCGGCGCTACCGCTATTGGCAGGCACTAAAACTGTCGTAGTGTTGTTGGTGTTAGAATCGACATCAGTTTCTTCGACCGCGTCTTCCTCACACTCGTTTATGGTGTCGGCTGTGGTCGTGTCCGCGGTGATCAGCACTTCGTCGGTTGACTGACACGTTGAATTCTCGTCGGTCTCKATCACCTCCTCCACCAAATCTACAGAGTTCGGTGTGTCAGCCGGTGGTGGTGGCGAACACGAAGTAGAATGTATTGGCGAGTTCACTGGCGATGTTGAAGTGCTGCAAATTAACGCCTCCGGCGCACTAGTTGCCACTTCCACGCTGCTGATCGATTTCGCCGTCAATGCAGTTCCCTTAGGTATACGGAATTTGCGTAAAATTTGCGCTGTRGTCGCCGACATAGCKAGTGCGTTCGGTGACATTGAGCCGTCATCGCCACTCGTGGCTGTGAGCAGTTCATCGTCCTCCTCCTCAATTACGACGGTTTCAGTACCGGTGGTGGTATGTAAAATTTGATTGTTATTATTGTTATTTGCATGCATTGCCGCCGAAGATATTTTCAATACGCCAGGTGTCACAATTGTCGCTGTTTGCGTGGCGGCAGCGCCAYTATTGTTTGCAACAACTTGCGTTCTRTTGCTGTTGGCGTTGTTGTTTGCGATGATGGGACGACGCGTCACTAACAGTTGCACTGTACGCGGCTGTATCGTTGTCTTCTTGTTGTTGTTGCTGCTGGTGGTGGTAATAACGGTATTGTTGGTATTTCTGACTTGTGTCCCAGCAATGGTCCTAGTTGGTAGGAGCCCGCAATTTTGCAATGTTGGTAGGAGCCCGCAATTTTGCAATGTTGGTAATCGTATTGGCGGTGGTGGTGGTGGTATAGGTGTTGGTGTTGTTTTAGAAGTGGAAGAGTAATTGGTTGAGGTTAGTTCATCGGGAAAACGATCATTCAAAACAAAATCAGTAAATTCATCAACGAAACTATTAACTGCATAATTGTGGTTGATGTTGTATTTAACGCCGCCATTGCCTGTATTGGTGACTGCAAGCATCTGTTGGCTCTTGCTGTTGTACTTGTCACCAAAGCCACTACTGCCTCCAACGCCGCCGCCGCTGCCACTACCGCCGTTACTACCAATGATGCCCATATTAATGGACTTAATCATTGTTGTTGGCGGCGGCGGCTTTGGCGGTGTGCTTTTGTTTGTTGCTAATACGTTACTGTTGTTGGTGTTGCTGTTGCTACGTTGTGGCTGTGTTATGGGTCTAAAAATTGTTGGTAGTTTTTGGGATAATGGTGTGCTTTTGTGTATGGCTTGTGTGGCGGTCTGAGTTTGTGTATTAAACACTGTATTAGTTGTTGTTGTGGTTGTTACCGTAGTTGATAACATGTATGGCGCTCTTGTTGTTGGCGTTTTACTGAAATGATGATTGGTATTTTTGTTACCAATTGAGGATGATGTAAGCAATGTTGTTGGTGATGATGATGATGATGTTGGCTTAGGAATTACTGTTGTTTTTGGTGCAAATGTTGTTGAGTTGTTTGTAATAGGTGTATGCTTCGATAGGGGATCTTTTGGTGGTCTACCGGCTTTACGTTTTATTGGGTGTAGTGGTGGTGGTGGTGTTGGTTGTTGGAAGGGAAAATTCGTGTTGTCAATGAGTGGTTGGTGATAGTTGTTGCTGTTTTTCTGTTTGTATTTGTTCTGATTGTCGGTAACACTAATTGTTTGGTTTTTAGAAAAACCTACACGTTTCCCGTTGACGAAACACAAGAAGTAGACATACAGACACAATATAAACACAGACGCAGAAATTAATTATCATGTAAAATAAATAAAGAAAGAAAGACAAAATGAAATTAGTTTACCATCAGTCGAATATCGAATAATTTTCATCATAAAAACTTAAAATTTATCTTACTATTATAATATAGATGGAAATATTTGCGCGAATTAGTGTAGTATATTCTCATTAGGGCTGTTAATGGTAGAACGATTATTCGATAACTTCGATTATTGATCAATTTAAAATATCATGTTGGTTTAACTTTTTCGAATGTATATAGAATTTGGAAAAGCAAAGATATTGAAAAACTTTAAATTCTATAATAACTTCAAAAAAAGTATATATTTTAATTTAGCGTTTATAAAATATAAGAATATTTTTGTATTGGAATCAGTTTGTATATAGTTAAACCTACATTTAACAGCCCTAAATCAAAAATTATAGATATTTTATGAAAAGCAGTGGACTTATAGCTATTATTAAATAAATATATTTAAAATAAATATATTTTCCTTCAAGAAGATTTGTTATGTGTTTTACTGCGGCATTTATGCAAAAGAAAATATAGTTGAATCTTAATATTACCAAAATTAATGGAAATCAAAATTTGTTTTCATTTAACATTGTTCAAATTTGTATACAMAAAATAATATTTTAATATAATGCAATTTATTATAATTTTTTTGTTTCCTCTGCATCAATTGCCGCCTTATAAAA